TTGTATTGTTGGTGCATGTGTATTAGAGTAAAATTCAGAAATGAAGTAAAAATCCCCAGTGAGACAATCCTGCTTTACTATATACAGTATGATATTAGGTGATGGATTGTGTATTGGAGGAGCCATCTCACTGCTAGCTTGACGTGTGTGTGCTGGGACAAAATATTGGAGAAAGATCAATGTGTGTGCAGGGGGCAGAATACTGGTGAGAAATCAATGTATGTGCTATGTGTGGGATCTTACTGGTGGGGAATGCTTTGTCCAGCAAAATTCAGCATTGGAGGCAGAATCCCCCCATGAGAAACTGAAAGTGCTACATAGGATTGAATACTGTATAGGATAGTATAGGATGTTATAGATCAGGTGATTACAAATGTAAAGTGTATATAAACCCTAACAATAAACTTCTTTTATTTGCTTTTGGGCTTTTAAATATACCATTAAAAATGTTTTCAAATACGTGAAAGATGCCGCACACCACTGACGTCACTGTAAAACATTATTGAAGTCCAACAGCCAACATGCTTATTTCCCCACCTGTCTAAGAGGCGGGTGGTTCATGCACAGGGACAGCAGCATTTTGGCTGTTGGATAGCAATAAAGTTTTACAGAGAAGTCAATGGTGTGCAGCACCTTCCTAGTATTTGAGCATTATCAATCTAGGTATAGGTGGTAATGAAAAGCTGGATAATTTTATCAGGTAAAGAGTTGACCAGTTAGAATTAGAGATATGCATATAATAGTACATCATTCAGCTTGTGAGTCATTGGGGTGGACACTATTATTTGCTCTGCTGGAGTGAATATTTCTTTCAACTGGCAAAATAATAAACCAGCATAAAGTGGTCCAAGGGATCCACTAGTCAATAATAGCATAAATTAATGTTTTGGCGGCGTGAACAGTAAATAATAAGAGATACAAAATATATTTTAAGGTGGAAGTGATGGGTTTTCACAAGGGTCTGACTATGTGGCAAGAAGGATATCTTAAAGCGTAACCTCCAAGTCAGTGGTCTTGTGATTGGAGAGCTATGGGGAATGGGGTATCTACACAAATAGAAATTTTAGGTATAAGTGTGTAAATGATAGGGGAAGCACAAAACATATTAGGTATGGAATTCGAGGACAATAAAAAGCACATAGAGCACTGGCAGTCGCTTATATTAAAAGTTTAAATAAGATAACTTCTTTGGAGGATGAAGAGTGTTGGGGGTCATCAGCCTGAAGATGGCTCTAAAAAACAAATTTCTTATTTTTTCTAATTTTCTTAAAATGGAACCATGAACAGAATCCTTAGCTTCAGCAGCCTATATAGTTATCATCAAAATAAGTACTAACAGCCTTATTCACCAAAAAAACACCAAATGCAAAGTACACGGAAGTGTATGTAAAGCCAAAACTTTGATTCTTTTTTTTTTAGATTTGGAGTAGGTAAGTGTTAAAACCTTGTCAGGTTTTATTGCTGTCTGCAGCTCAGCTGAGGAGATTCTACCTTTCCATTTTTCCTCATGAACATTGTATCAGATACAGAAACTGATAGAAAATTCAAGATTTTAAGAAACTTTTTTACAATGGAGAAAACTGTTTTACTGGCAAATGTCTAAGAGGGGGCATCTTTGGAAGTATTTACTATTACTTTCTGTTGTGCCTTTGGAACAGGAAGTAAGGCAAAAGCTCCGGAAGGTGACAAAAAAAAAAAAGAAATCACCTTTCACTGATTTTCCTTCCTCAGAATGCTGATGATTTCCATGGTTACTGCACTTCAGCTTTCCTGTAATGACTGTCTAAATGCCCTTGTTAACGTGGGATGGGATGAAATCGAAAACAATCTCTCCCTGTACGTCAGCTATGACGTTGAAATGCTATTATTTTGAATATCTTTAGTAACACCTTCCTCTTTTTCCCTTATTGTCCACAGCAGCAATTTTACCTCTTTATGGAAGAGAAAAGCGGACCTATACAGAAATGGAACCTAACAAACTAAACAGAACTGCAAAAATGATTTTTAGACACGATGACACAGTAAAATATAGACAAAAGTTTAGCTACAAGAACCACTATTTACTTTTGCGCAGCTATTTTCTAACCATAAATAAATAAATCCAAAGGTCATCAAGATTCTATTCAGTTAGGTTTAGTCCTGTGTGGATGACCAAATGGTACATTATATTTGTCTCTCCTAGGCTAGGGTTACAAGGGCAATTTGAATATTTTGCTGTGACTTGACTTATGGTGATGAGAGATTTAAAGTGGAACTCTAGCTAAAACATTTTTTTCCATTTTGGATATAGTATGAAAGGGATACAACCTTTACCAGCTTCCTATTACTGTCTGTGGTCCTGTTAGGGAGATTTCCCCACACTTTCTATACTGGTACTACACAGGAAGTTTGGGGAACATGCTCAGTTGGAACCCATATAGTAAGATAAACCTGACATAGATCCTTATGCTTCCCCACACTACTAAAAAAGTTCATATATTGCTTTCTGAGACTCCATTGCATTTATTCTTGCCACTGTCTGGGTAACTACACCATCAGTGAGAAGAACTCTTCCCAACAGGGTCACAACATTTTCTTACTACATTTTCCTACTCTAGCCATAACTTTGCATAGAGCTTAGCTTTATTAACTTTATTTTAAATAACTTGTTGACTAATATATCTTCAAATAAGGTAACTACCAATACGTGGTTGATTTTTTTGGATATCAAAATGATCTGTGTAATTCAAGCCTTAAAGTGATCCTATAAGGTTAAAAACCCTAAAGGAAGGTATCCTGCAATAGATGAGCTCTGATACTTACCCCTCAAGTGGCCAGTGTCTCTCTCCTCATCTCCCTTCCAGCACTACAGCCTCCATAAGACTCTACAGCATTGGCCATTTCACAGAGTGCCAGATACCTGTGTTCCCTGATGTGCAGAGTTGTTCCTTCCTCTGCTCTCCATGTCACTACAACACATAGCAATTCAGTGTAGAACCACTGTGTGTGTCATGGGAACAGAAATATTTTTCAGTTCCATTGAAATCTCTGAGACTTTGTAAAATACAGTGAGAACATATAAATGTATTGGTGTGGCAATGATTGTTGTCACTATAAACCTATCTATATAGGAATGAAATGTAGGATTATTATCATCTAGAAAACAGGATCAGCATTTTTCATTAAATAAAATGAGGGGGACTTATCAAAACGGGAGCAGAGAAAATGTGGAGCAACTGTACATGGCAACTAGTCGGCTTCTCTCTTTCATTTTCAAATCTCAGCTGGACAAACTGAAGAGAGAAGCTGATTGGTTGCCATGGGCAACTACTCCAGATTCTGTCTGTTCCTGTTTTGATACATTTCCCCCACTGTAAATAAGATATCAGCATAACTGTCTCCTTTGACAGGTGAGAATCCAACAGTCATCTGCAAACCAGTAGTTCTGTTGTCCCTGTTTGTAATGCATTCTATGTTTTTTAAAGCTATGTCCCTGTGATGCCACATCCCTTGAGATAGAAAGAAACACATGGCAATAGTTGTCTATCTTGTTAGATGTTTTACAGCCAAAACACATTCTGTAAATATGGGATCTTGGCCATCACCCACAATTTCCACAAAAAAAACATTTTTTTATCTTAATACAGCACAAAAATGGGGAAAAATTATGTTGGTGTCATGCTAAAACCTCTGAATGCCAACTATTTAAGTTAAAGGCATTTAATGTAGACTTTAGGGGCATAAGAAGAGTTTTCATATACTAACTTTCTCTGCAATATTACTGAGGACAAGCCATATTGACAACTATAAATTAATTGTTACATTGTATTCCATATGTTATTGTTGATATAATGTGCCACTTTTGCTACGTAAAACTAATGTTTGCGTATATAATTCTTTTCTGCAAAATGCTTATGTTCCTGAATCTCTCTGTCTATTGTTCTTAAGGCCCAGACCTATACTGTAAATCCAAGCCTGACCACATAATGCTTATTGTAAGTATACAATGTATGAACTTTACTGCAGTAATTCAATTATATAAACAAATTAATTAGATTACACAAACTAAAGTGTACTATAACTTTATAATATCAGGAACTTCATAACTGAAGATGCTTGAAGGGTAGTGCTATGAGGTGTACTGAAATTTGTATGCACATTAAACATCTTGTTACAGAGTTTAAGAAAGTTTAGGTTCCAAAAAGGTGAGGATAGCATAGCAAGTAATTTGTAACCTTACTTAAAGGAGAACTATGAGGTGAGTGCTTTTCACTCACCTCATAGTTCAAGCCGACCTGTGACAATGAGACTGTCACAGGTCGGCTCAATAGATCGGGAGGTGAGCGAACACATACCGGTCGTTCGCTCACTTCTCGATCCTGTCAAGGCTCTCTGCCGTGACAGGGGAGGGGCTGGATTCCCCCCTCCCCGCTCCGATCTTCCAGCGCTGACTGGCGGATTGGACGGGGAGGGTACAGCTGGCTCTGCCTCTAGATAGGCAGAGCCAGCGGTCACTCACGCAGCAGTGCGGATCCAGACATAATTGTCGGGTTTCGCTTCAGCTGCGGCGTCTCAGTATACCGCGAGCTACAGCTCGGGGTATACTGAGCTTAGGGTGACGGGAGGACGCTAGTTTGTGTCCTCCCGTTACCCTAAGGAAAAGCCCTAAACAATTAGTTCTCCTTTAAACAAAATAATGTGAAATTGATTGCAGTCTTTGTGGTGTTCATACATTACATTCATAAAGAGATTTCATACAGAATAATACACAACAACATTAAGGTTATATTCACTTTGATAAATACAGTTATTTTATAGCTATTTAATTATGTTGATGCTTGCTTACGCCTCTTATCATGAATAACACTCTCATTTTGATTCACATAAACATTCAACAGTAAACTGCTATTGCTTGTAGTTTGATCTATTGGTACATATTAGAGGTATAATTAATGTTGTTGCTTTTAGGCTCTGCTAAGGTTCAGGTGCAGAATGATCACAATTAATAAAACACTACTCACTTTAAGAAGAATGAACCCATGCTGTCTGTAGGACTCAAAGGAGAGCAATCGCTTGAGCTCGGAAAGTTTCCCGGATTGTCATCTAAGAAAACCAAATCTTCCAGTGGCGTTTTGCTCATCTTTTTTTATTTGTACGTATAAAAGCTCCAGCGACAGCACTTGACAGGGTTGAAAGCTGAGAGTATGCTGCCGTGAGGAATGTCGTGAAACAGTAACTTTTGCAGTCCCGGAAATAGTATATGCTGCTGGCTCGAGTACAAGTCAGTCCAGTTTCTGCACATGTTAATGAGTAACTTCTAAGATTTACAAATGATGTAGATTTCATTTGAGGTCACCATTCTTAAAACCCAGACAAGCTGCCAAGGCACAATACGTGCTGGGGCTGATAGCAGTATTGTACTGTTACATGTCATGGTATTTTATAGAAAAGGTATGAGTTATTATTGAATCACTTGTGCTGTTTGTACAATGTCATACAGACAAACTAATCCAGGGTATATGGTTATTGATTTAAATTTTGTGCTGGCTTTTACTTAAAATTCAATGTTTGGTCAATATTTTTACTTTTTTTAGTTGTTCACATTTTTTTCTTATACAGATTCTGCAGGTCACATGGAAGAAGTGAAATCTGCTAGTGCCTTATATTTAAAGTAGTATTAAACTCTCAAACTTTGTTTCAATGATAAATCCAGATCAAACAAATATACATTGCCCAGCAAAGCATTGCTTTACATTTTTGCCCAAACACTTACAATCATCATGTTTCTGAACTGCTGCTTCTAAGCCTCCACTAACACCTAGGTGTTAGCGTTTCCGCGCATTCAACGCTCATTTTTATATGCATTTTTCCCATGTGCGTTTTGCAAATTTTTGGGTGTATTGAGAGTTGCCCAATGAAAAGCAGTCCCATTCATGACATAATTCCTGTTCCCGTTTGTTGTTGTCATCAAGAGAGAGGAGACAAGACCATAGAGATGTACTCATTGAGAGCACGCTTTGTGGCGGCTTTAGCCATGACGATGTTGATTTTGAAGAAGAGAAAGCATAGGCGATGCTTCTGTGTGCATCCTGTTATTGCAAATTGCCAGCAGTGAGGCCAGATCTGGGCCATTCATACAAAACTGCGTGGGCATGAGGACTTTTTTTTTGCCTTCACCCGCATGTCCCTTCAAAGGTTAGTACACATGCTTGCATTATTTCTTTCCTCTCTGACCTTGCTCCACATTCTGTCTGCTCCATTTCCTGCTAACATGCACCTTTTATTATTCGACAGCTTGGATGAGCTACTTGGTATCCTGCCCACTCATCTTGAGCATCAGGACACCTTTTAGTATTCCAACAGTGGTAAGACTACTCATCACTTTGCGGTAAGTAGATTTTACTTCAATTTGTCAAAAGTGGTGCAGAAAGCAAGTTGTCAATACTAACCAATCATCTGATTGTCTTCAATTGGACAAATTGCAAATGAAAGAGACAAGCTGATTGATTTAGAGAGCAACTGCTGCTGATTCTGTCTGCCCGACTAACAAATTGCCCGTCTGTTTCCTTCCTCACATGTAGTGCATAGTTCCTTCCATAACCTATGCCGTTCAGAATTGGCAGTATGAATTATGCCTCGCATCACAACTGGTCATACTGAGGGGGGGTATAACCAGGTTAATTAAATGCCATCGCCTCCATTATTCCATGGGTGGAAGATCCAGTGGTGAATGAAATGGGAGAGGGGGAATGTGCCATGCTGGTAGATGGAAAAACATAGGTGGAGGTAGTGCAAGGTGGCCAGTTATTGTGTGTGTGTTGAATGTTTGCTTGGGTGTGGTGATGGGAAGGGTATTGTTGCTGGGCTTGTGTTGGTTGTAGAGGACAGGGAAGTGCAGGTAGTTGGTGAAAGGTTAGGCGAGGGGGTGCAGTGTGTGTTTGGGATTCCCCTTTGGGAATGAAGGATGAGATGTATTTTATGAGCCCGATGCGCAATTCATCCTCCCATGCTTTCTTCATGCTGGTGTGATCAATCTGTTATAGACCATAGGATACATATTAGTGTATTTTTGTTTTCTTTGCAGAGATGGAGGTCTGCCAGTAGTTGTATCAGGAGAGGTTGGATAACAAAGCATAATATGTCAGCCTTGTGTCTATTGTTTAAGATGAAGTCCCTTCCCCCTTACTCAGATGAGGAAGTATGGCCTAACTGCTGATCTCTTTTACAACACATCACTTGATCAATACTGGAGGATATGCCTACCAAATCAGAAATTGAGTTTTGTGAGATGGGAAGGAAGGAGGAGAGGAAGTAGTATCTGCTGGCACTATGTAGTTGGGTCAGAGTAGAGTCATATGATGGAATTGAATACATTGCATGGTCAAAAGTTTGAAGAGACCTGACCATTAAATATATATCAGCTAGTGGGATTCCCCATTCCAAAAGCATGGGCTGTAATATGGTTTTGTCTCCCCCCATAGCAGCTACTAGAGCCTTTACGCTTTCCACAAGGTTGTGATACATGTCTGTGGGAATTTCTGCCTATTCAGCCAGAAGAGCATTTGTATGGACAATGGATGATCTCTGCTAAAGCTTCTCACTGAGAGTCTGCTGGTGGTAAGGGTGGCAACAGTACTCAGAAGAATGGACTGGTGGTTAGGCAGTGGTGCTGATGAGAAATCCTGATAATGTATATATAATATAAATATCTATATGTATATGTCAAATAAAAAAATACATCTGATTTGCTATTACAGGCTGTCCCTGGGTTACATACAAGATAGGTACTGTAGGTTTGTACTTAAAGTGACATTAAACCCTCAGATTTTTTAACATAAACCAATACTGTAATGTGTGCCTTACGGTAATCCATGGTTGTTTCCCTTCTCTCTGCTGCTCTTCCTTTTAAATCCTCAAGTCTTCTCATGCTTGGGAGGAACTTGCCTTTTCAGCTCAGGGCCTCTTCCTGTAGTGCTTGCTCAGGTTTCAAGCCTATACAAACGTATACACAGACACCGTGTATCCATTCCTGGATTACAGTAAGGCACACATTACAGTATTGTTTTATGTTAAAAAATCTGAGGGTTTAATGTCACTTTAAGTTGAATTTGTATGTAAGTCGGAACAGGTAAATTTTTTAAGTGTAACTCCAGCCAAAACATTTTTTTTTGTTTTGGATAGCATAGGGAAGGGTCACGTTTGTTTTGCTGTAAGATAATAATATAATAAAACATTTTTTTATTTAAAATAAAATTGAATTACCCTTGCAGTGGCGCTACCCCGACACTGCAAGGGTTAACTGCTCATTTGCATCTAGGGACTAAAATAAAAACTTTATTCTCACCCATACCTCAGAGCCGACCAGCTGTCACAGTGCTCCCCCCAGCCTGTCTCCTCTTATATTGCAGTGATATGTTTGTCCCTGGACATCCGCACATCTAATGCACAGTGTATTGGACGTGATGACCGCTGCAGCGGAGGGGGAGAGAGGCTCCAGGGACAGGTCCAAGAGCAAGATGGCTCGGAGGATTGGGTGAGTACAACTTTTGTATTTTCTTCCCTAGACCAAAACAAGCAATTAACCCTTGCAGTGCAGGAGTGGCCCCACTGCAAGGGTTAATACTATTTTTTCTGCTTTAACTAAGTTCTGCTTTAACCAATGACAAAATTATTGCTGAATCAATAAGCACCAGGAGGAAATGTAAAAACAACTCTGGTCCATAGGGAATATGCAGGCATGAGATCTACACTGGTTACTGCCAGTTGACAACTTGCTGTATGGGTGTTTGTGTCCCACCTGGGTAGCCTTACCCCTGGGCAGCACAGTGGCGTAGTGGTTAGCACTTCTACCGTCCAACACTAGGGATCCTCGGTTTGAATTTCGGCCAGGTCACTATCAAGGAGATTGCATATTCTCACTGTGCTTGCCCCTACTAAACCAAGGACCCAGGAATGGAAATGTCATCCCTCCCAATTCTCTTTAAAATCTCCCAGTTCCGGAATCCCCCTCCAAATCCAGAAAACCTGGAGAGGACTGCAAAGCTAGTCCTTTCCCAGCAAAAGATTTTGTTCCCTGGAACCGCTCAGCCCCTCTGGCTGAGAGTCCTGGGTGACTACAAC